TAAACTCCCTCAGCTTTATTTGTCTGGGAAAGTCTTTACCTCTCCTTCTTCTCAGAAGGACAGCTTTGCCATATAGAGTATTCTCACTTGGCAGTTTCATCCTTTCAGCACTTTGAAAATAACATCCCCCTCTCTCCTGACCTGTTAGGTTTCTACTGAGAAGTCCTCTGATAGTCTTATGAGGGTTCCTTTATAAGTTACAAAGTTTCTTTTTTCTTGCTCCTTATAAGATTTTCTCTTTGTCTTTGTCTTTTGACAATTTTACTACAATACGTCCTAGAGAAGATCTCTTTAAATTGTTTGGTGACCATATGAGCTTCATGAACTTGGATAGCCAAATCTCTTCCCAGATTTGGGAAGTTCTCAGCCATTATTTCTCTAAGTAAGTTTTCTGCTTCCCGCCCCCCTCCTCATTCTGAAATTCCAATAATTTGCAGATTGTTTCTTTTGATATTATCCCACGGATCACATAGGCTTTCTTCACTCTTTTTCATTAGTTTTTCTTTGTTCTCCCTGACTGGATAATTTCAAAGTTCCTGTCTTCTAATTCCAGATTCTTTCTTCTTCTTGATCCATTCTGATGTTGATGCTCTCTATTGCACTTTTCGTTCACTCATTGTACTCTTCAGCTCCAGAATTTTGATTTGGTTCTTTTATATAATTTCTCTTTGTTAACGTTCTCATTTTGTTTGTGTATCATTTTCTTGATTTTGTTCAATTGTTTTTCTATGTTTTCTTGCAGCTCATTGAGCTTCCTTAAAACAACTATTTTGACTTTTTATCAGGAAAACTATAGATCTTCATGTCTTTGGTATTGGTTACCAGAAGATTATTGTGATCCTTTGGTGGTGTGATAGTTCCTTGATTTTTCATGTTCCTTGAAGTCTTGTGATGCTGTCTTCACATTTGAAGTAGCAGTTACCTCCTCCACTCTTTACTCATTGACTTTGGGAGAGAAATACCTTCTGTCAGCCCTGCTAGGGATTCTGAGGTTTCTGGATATGCCTACTCTACATTCCTTGTTGCCTCTTGTGACAGAGTTCTTAAGCTTATATGCCTTCTCTCCATCCTGCAATGCACCAGACCAGAGGCTGACAGACTCCCTTTTGCTTTTCCAAGGATAGAGCTAAAGCTCGAGTTTGGGGTTTCTCCCTGGACAGCAGATTTAGGCCACCTTTCTACACGTGCTCACTACTGTCTGCCAGAGCTTGCTCTCATCACCATCAGGAGTGCATTCAGGGAGATAAGGCACAGGGAGGTGTGTAGATGGGGCACGTGGAGCATCGGCAGTGCCTGTGGGCCATTTGGGAGGATTCAAAGGTAAAGTGTCCCCAGCAGCTCATGACAGTTAGCAGGATCAATGTCCCTTTAATGTCCTCTGAGGGTCCTATGTGCTCTCACCCAGCCTCTTCCCACCCCCAAGTCATGTAGCTCACAACTCAGTACTGTGGATGGAGCAAGAAAGAAATGACCTCTTTGACAGGATCCCACACTGCTGGAGAAGCTGGGTGCTCACTCACACACTCTCACTTTACCCTGAAGGAGAAATCACTGAGCAAGAAAATGATTTCTTAGCATTGAGCTGTGTCAGTTTGGGGGAAAGGTAATGCAGGTAAAGTCAAACTGTTCCTCTTACCCTCTCCAATGTGTTCAAATGTGTATTTTTCTGCTCCAACTATGTGCTGGAATTTCTCTTCTGGAAACCTGGATTTCCACAAAGACTCTCTTATTCATAAGTGATTGTCTAAGACAGTGTTCTCCAGGGAGAGAGGCCCACTCCTTCCTCATAATCTTTATCATGCCTCCTGGATATGCACAACTATCATTTTCTCACATTTATGTCAAGTCGAGTGTTGCAAAACAGCTCCAAGCTCCTTCATCCAACCAGTTTGCCTATCCAATACATCCCAAAATTTATACTACAGAAACTGTGGCACTGTTACTGTTGTCAAATAATTTGAAAAAAAAAATAACACAAAAAAAGGACAAACAATATACTTGCAGGTCACCAGTCTGCAGCCTCTGATAACAGCCTACTTCTAGTTGTCCAACTTGCAGTAGGTATATTCACTTCCATCCATTGTTCGATCTAACTTTCCTCCTGTCTTCATCTTATTCATGCTACACTTATTTTCCTGATTCCTTTCTTTTTCAAAGTCTCTGTCTTACAGTGTTATATATTCATGGGTATTGGATTATATTTTGAATTATATTGAAATCTTTTGTACATTTGCATCTCTACAGCCTCCATTTCCCCAAAATGGAATTCCTTCCCTATCCTTCATATTTAAACCATTTCATCTTTCAATGTTCTACTCATGTACTGTCTCTTTTATAAAGACCTCCTTGGCATCCCTTTTCCCATTCATCAATCCATCCATCCATCCATCAATCCATCCACCCAGGTCTCACCCCATTCCGAATTCTGAGAGCTCTGAGTACCCCATTTGTTAGATCACTTGGGACCTTATCAGGCGTACACTTCTTGCTGTTTGTCGTGGGTTGAATGATGGCCCCACAGAAGACATGCCTATGCCCTAACTCCTGGACCCTGTGAATATGAGCTTATATGGAAAAAAAGGTCTTTGTTGATATAATTAATTTAAGGACCTTGAGATGAGGTCATCCTGGATTACCTGGTTAGGTCCTAAATCCAAATGACATGTGTCATATGACACAGAAGAGGGGACACAAGAGGAGGAAATGGAGGCAGAGATTGGAGTGTTGTAGACAAAAGCCAAGTAATACCTGGAGCTACCAGTAGCTGGAAGAAGATGAAGGATTCTCTTCAAGAGCCTTTGGAAGGAGTGCAGCCCTGCTCACACCTTGATTTTGTACTTCTGGCCTCCAGAACTGTGAGAGAATAAACTTCAGTTGTTTTAATTTACCATGTTTTATGGTAATTTGTTATGGTAGCCACAAGAAACTAGAAATTCAAATGGCCAGCTCTTTAAAATCAGAGGCAGTGTGTTTTACCTCTTTGTATGAGGTCTTTCCTCTACCTGGAGAAAAGTAGCCAGAACAGAGAAAAGGACACCAAGAACTGAGTTGAATTGGCCAGGTTTCAGCATGGCCCATCCCTTATTAGCTGGCTCTCCAGGGACACATGCCATTTCCTCTACAGAGTGACTGTGAAGGTCTCATGTGGAAATGGATGGGGAACTCTCTTCTACTGTGTGTGTGCAGCTCTCCCATATATTCACTGTTGCTCTTTTGTGACTTGTTTCCCTATTGAACTGTCAGGATAAGGTCTCACCTCTGTGGGTAGAGGACAGGGTCCCTCTGAAAAGGATGGTCATTCTGGGGTTAATCACTGGGGAAGAGGCAAGTCCTAGACATGAAATCATAAATTAGAAAGCAGGCTGCAGGCAGCCTCTCTGGAGTTGGGATTTTGCTATAGTGGCCTTCTTTCAACTTCCCTAAATAGCCATGTTCTTTTTTGTTTTAGGGCTTCTGTATGTGCTATTCCCTCTAGCCAGAACATTCTTCCCCCAGCTAACTCCTATCCTCTGTCTCAGTTCTAAAAAGCAGCCTTCCATTACTACCTAGATTAGGCCAGGACTCCTGACATATTGCCCTTAGCCCATGCCCTTCTCCTCAGAAGCATGCATCACCCTATGTCTTGTTCAACATTCTGCCTCATTTGGTGTCATACCACAGGTTCCATGGGCAAGAATGTGCCCACCTGGGTCTTGTGCTTCTCCTGCAACAGAGAGCAGAGCACCCTCCCCACCCCCACCCCCAGCTTCAGATAAGGGAAGTGACCCTAAGGTCACATTCTCTGGTTAGAGGTTACTCTCCAGTGGTCCCAGCCCCCAGCCTTCAGTTAAGTCTCACTTATACTTTCTGAGGCTAATTGTGGCCAGACACACCAGTGAGCAGCACCCCTGAGGCTTGCAGTCATCCCTCAGGAGTATCCTAGGGGAGGGTGCATCTATCTCAGGGGCCAGGGCTGTCACAGCTGCCCCACCCTATGGGGAGTCTCCCTCATTGATATTCCTGACCTTGACGATTTGGACTTGATTTTATTGAGGGTGCCAACCAGTGAGTTTCCTTATAACAGAAAATGTCAAATTCATGTGAGAGATGGCTATAATCCAACAGGGCAACCAACATAAGGCTTGGTAAAATGTGGGCTAGATCAGGCAGAAGCAATGGGGGGCATCTACCCCTGTGTGCACTTGTGAAGGCTGAGTTACAGGAGATGCTGAATGTAATGGAAACATTGACTTGGAATCTTTAGGCATCTCCTGAAAGGATTAGCCAATGGCATCATAAAAAGAGAAAGAAGTCAACTGAAAAATAGCAGGACGACCGAGGTGCCCATCAGACTCCTTGAAGAACCCAGCAGTCCAGGTGATTGGAATAGGATAGTACATGAGTCTGACCAGAGCCCAGAGAGAGAGAAGGCAGGTTGGGCACAGGATCACCACCAGCATTCAGGTTACCCAAAAGATGGGCCCAAATTGGACTTTTCTGGAAAAGGTTCCACATGTTGCTAAGGCTTCTGGGGTAAAGGTATTCTTCACCTCATCCATTTTGAGATCAGTCCCCCACTAATGCATGCAGGGCCTCAAATATTAACATTTGATTGGACACATATAATGAATTGCAGAGTAGGAGGCAATAAATGTTTAGGTCAGAAAATTTGACAGTTATAATTTATATTCACTCTTAGTTCACCCATCCTGTTTAACGTGGGGGTTGGGGTAACACTCACCCCGCTCCTGCTCAGCCTCACAGAGCAGCAAAGGAGACTACAGCTCCTCCCACCCACATGTCTCCAGCTTGAAACCCATCCTCTCCCAAGTCCTGGCTCAGAAACCAGTTTAAAGAGGTCCTCTGTCCACCCCGCCACACACACACACACCAGTAACAAGGAAGTCCCTCAGGGTTGGGAGGTGGGGGAGAAGCCAGCAGACAGACCAGGCCAGGCCACTTCCCATTATTCAGCAGAAGGGGAATGAGTGGGGGCTAAGCCTCTGGTCTCTGGGGCTCATCTACACCAACTTCTTGGCTTTAAAGAAGCTCTTGAGGTGCTGCATCTGCCAGATGCCAGTGGCCACAAGGATGAAGGTCTGCAGAATGAACCACCACAGCACCCGTTGGTTGGTGCTCTCGCTGGTCTGCCGGAAGCGCTCCTCTCGCCACTGTGGGGGTGGGGGAGAACAGGAAGGTGTGGCTAGAACTGAATTGACCCCCAGGGGAAGAGCTGAAAGAGCCACTCCCTGGGAGGTTACACATCCACTGTCCCAACTGGCCCAGCCCGGCCCCTCACCCTCTGGTACTCCTGCTCCTTCTGGATCTTCTCCACTTGCTCCACCAGCTGCTGTATGCGCAGATGCAGCAGGGTCAGCTTGTCATTGGCTGCAAGTTCCATATAATCATTGGTGTGTTCACCCAACTGCATGTCCAAGTGAATGGCCTGGGGAGCAGAGGAGACGTGGGGGGGGGGCGGTCAGGGAGCTCAGATCCATGCACCTGCCAGAAACCCAGCTTCCACACACCAGTCTGGGCCTGACTGGACTGAGCAGTTCAGTGCCTCACACTCATTGATGTGGGAACTAGCTCTGCTCCAGGTGCCAAAACACCAGATCAAGGCCCTGCTTGCATGGAGTTCCATGTCCAACAGACAGAAGGGACAGAACAAAATGTGCAGAACAAAATGTGTATGACTTGGTGTTTGAGACAAGCAGCTCCTAGGAGTTCCATGTCAGTGGGAGGTGGTAATGAAGAGCCTGGGAGCATTCAGCTGCTGGACAGCTCTGAATTTTACATTATGAAGCTTGGTCTTTATTCTAGGGATGGCAGGGAGCCAAGGGATGATTTTAAGTCAGAGTGACTCCCTCCTGGGTCCCCTCTCATTCTCCAGGACCTGTCCTCTGTATGCTTACTTCATGGAAAGCCCAGCCCTCCTCAAGAGGCACCACCTACTGAACCCTTTTCACCCAAGGGACTGAGATGTTAAGGGTTGGTGACTTTCCCCTCCATACTCACCAGCTTGCCATCATAGAAGAGGGCGAACCGGATGGACTCGAGGTGAAGGCAGATCTGGTGCTCTCCGGGAGACTGGGAGGTGAAGGTAAAGCTGCCCCAAGGGCCGTACTGACGAGCCAGCAGATTCTAGAGGAAACAGCCTCTGTGAGCACAGAGAAGCTGACCAGAAACCTGCTTCTAGGAGAGGAACTCTGGGGGTATCCCAGGCTCTGATCCCCACAGGCCAGACCAGTAGGGAGGGTGTGAGGAAAATGGCATCAGTTTGGGCTTGAAAATCTCAGATCCCAGCACTGCTAGTACACAATACTCTACAGACTCCAAAGAGCGTGGCCTTTCTTGAGCCCTCCTGCCTGTGAGGAGACGAGCCCTCCTCTGAGAAATGGAGGACTAGGGAGGACTAGGCAATGACGGTGGAGACGTGGGGGTGGGAGGGCTGCAGGGAGTCAAGGCCTGCCTCACCTTGTTCTCGGGGTCCTTCACAAACACGAACAAATTGATCCACTGCGGGGAGGGCTGGTACTTTTCCATAGCAGGGTCGTATAGCTCTGTCTTGTAGTTACCTAATGGGGAGGCAGCCTGGATGCATCCCCATCCACACTCACGACCAAGAGCCCGCCCAGGACCTCCAGGAGTCACGGGGGACGGCGGGAGGAACAGGAAGATCCGGGTGTCTGACTGGGAGGCTTGACCACAGCCCTCTGCCTCTCTCCTTCCCTCTCCTGCCCCGCTTTTCTGCTGTCATCCGGGTCTGGATCAGACTTGCCTCCTCGGCGCCCCACAACCCCGGCACAGGCAACGGAGAGGATGCTTTGCCCACACTGCTGTCCACCGATTTCCCACCCGTGCCTACCCCCGGCAGCAGACGGGAGGTATGGGCCTGAGCTGATCCCGCGGGGCCTCATCCCCATTCCCTCTCAGGACTCTGGGTGCGGGGAGGGCAAGGCCGGGACTCTGGGTGCGGGGAGGGCAAGGCTCGGGCGCACCTATGATCACTGTGCCATCGGGGATCTCCTGGATGAAGCACTTCTCCTCCTGCTCGCTGACCTCGAGGTAGAACGCGCCTCCGCCGCCTGTGAGCGCCAGAAGCTGCCCCAGCAGCAGCGGCAGGGCCAGTCCGGCTGCCCTCGCTCGGCCCCATCCCCGCCCGTGGCCGGCCCCGGGCCCAGCGCCTTGCGTCCCGCAGGCCCCCGCCACCTTCCCAGCCGAGTCCGAGGGTGTCTTTGCTGGCCCTGCGAGACTGCAAACTCGGGCACGGACTACAAATCCCAGGAGGCCCCGCGCGGACTCGCGTTGCGGAGGGGCCACGCGAGCTCCCACCCCACTAGAGAGGCGCTGCCCAGCGCTTTCCTTGCCCCGCCTCGCTTAATGCGCGCAGAAACCCAAGGAGGTGGGTGCTCTTAGCCCCATCTTGCTGATGTGGTAACAGCCTCAGAGAGAAGGAAGGGACTAGCCCTCTGAAACTTGCAGGAGCGGCTGCCTGAGATGGGTGTTGAGAGTGTGGGCAGGTCCAGGCATGACCTGGACCTGAACCTCGAGGAGGTTAGAAGTGATGGTGAGACAGAATGAGAACTGCAGAGAAGCCCTGTGGGGTTCAGAGGCTGACGTCGTAGTTCAGGAAAGGAACGGAGAAATGTCCCTTTTATGGAAGGGGTAAGTTTGACTCAAGCTCTGAAGGGTGGTTAAAATCTCCCTGAGCAGTGAGGGAGCAAGAACAATTTAGGTAGAGAGACCTAGAATTGCCTAACAGCAGTAGGCCAGTTAAGGGACTAGGGGAAGAAAGTTTATGGGCACACGGAGGGAGGAGGTAAGTTGGGCCGAATCACTGAGGGGGCAGGAGCTGCCAGGCCAACTTGCCCAGGTGGGACTCTTCATCCCGTGGGACCAAAAGAAAAGACTGTGAGTGAGCCTGGAGGGTGAAAGAAGTCGGCAGGAATCCAACTGGAAAAGGAAAGAGAATACACAACTGAAAGGTGTGGGAGGGTGGGGCCAACATGACAAGGCAGAGACCCAGAAATAGCAAATCTCAGGAATTCCGAAGCTCATGGTGCTCTGAGTAGGGCAGTGTATACTCAAACGTCAATATAAAGCAGTAGCCCTTCCCAGGTGGTGGGATGAAGTCCTCCACCATCTAGTGCCTGATGATAATAGATGCTCATTGGTTTATTCAGTAATATAAAATGATGATGAAAATAATAATACTTTTTATTCTTCTGTGCCAGCCACTGTTCTAAGCACTTTTAAATGTATTAACTAAATTAATATTTTAAAAACTCTATAAGGTAGACTCTAATAGGATTCCAGTTTAACAGTTGGGAAGCAGTGGCAAAGAGAAGTTGAGTAATAACTTGCCCAAGGTCATCCAGTGATAAGCGGCAGGCATTTGCTCACACAAACTCTGGGCATGACTTTATGATACATGTTGGACATGAATATGAGTAAAACCTGTCTCCTGTCCTCTAAGAGCCCACTGAAAAGCAAAGGAGCAATGTCAATACAGTGTTTTAAGATTAATAATATGTTTTAGCTACCAGAAATTGTCCCCTCACTTTATCAGTATGGCCCATTGATAATTCTAGGGGAACATTTTTATTCCTTCACTGGGAATGATCTTTAAACGAAAATGACAGATGCAGGTGTTAACAAAGGCAGACACTTTAGAAAGGTCAATTAAGACAACAGCTGAAAAGCGTCTGTTGGATTTGGGAACTAGCTGTTCATCAAGGGCATTCACCAGGAGCTGGGAGCAGGGGTGATGACTCAGGGTTTGGGAGGCAGGATGAGGTGCTGTCCACGGTCCTGAATCGTGATTGCCTGTACCACCGCCTGCAGTAAGGGACTGGTTTTTGTTTTTTGTTTTTGTTGTTGTTGTTGTTGTTGTTGTTTTGTGGTACGCGGGCCTCTCACTGTTGTGGTCTCTCACATTGCGGAGCACAGGCTCCGGATGCACAGGCTCAGCGGCCATGGCTCACGGGCCCAGCCGCTCCTCAGCATGTGGGATCTTCCCAGACTGGGGCACGAATCCGTGTCCCCTGCATCGGCAGGCGGACTCTCAACCACTGCGCCACCAGGGAAGCCCTTGTTGTTGTTTTATATATAAATTTTCCAATCCCTCATGAACCAATACTTTTGTAAAAAAGAATAAAAAATGAAACTGATTATGGGCTTGAATGTCACATCAATGTTAAATTTCTATAAAAGTTTCTAAGTGCTCAATTTCTGTGTTTATCTCATTGCAGACCTATAACAAACACTCATGGACCAGCACTGGCCCACAGTGGGTAGCACTGTTTCATAGCCAGTGATCAGACTGCCCACAGAAATCCCCTAAAGGGACAAAAGTGGAAAATTATTAGGGCCTGCAGTGACATGCATGTAAGGAGATAGTGCAGCAGTGACTTTACAGCAAGATTTCAAAGCCAAGAACCCAGATGTTGGGAAGGATGAGATGGTTCCCAAGTAGAAAAAGTACTGTGTTGATGACAAAATCTGATTCTGAGTGATGACAGGGCTGAGAATATAAGAGCAGAGAGCCCACCATTCTGGGATTCTCCCACTTGACAGTGATCTCATTCCACACTGTCTGCCAAGACCACTGAACCTGGGTGCCATTTGTGAGATTTAAAGAAGACATTGGGGAACTGCATCTACTTGCCCTATCTGAGGTTCCCCTAAGATTGAAGACTCTGTCAGGCCTCTACTACATGCTGTTCCCTTTCTAAGGGATGTCCTGAGCCCCCATTGCTGCCTTCTTTTCCACTTGCCTAATTCCTATTCACCCTTTCAAGACTCAAGTGCAGCATCCCTCTTTTAGGTGTTTCCTGCCCTGGGCTCCTTGGGACCTTGCGTTAACCATGTTGAATTATAATTGTCCATTCACATGCAAGTCTCTTGGGGCTGATAGCTGGAAGAGATTAAGACAGGTTTCTGCCACATATATTTATCTCTGTGCTCCCCAAAGCCTAGCGAAAATCTAGGAACAGTATGATTGTGCAGTGGATGTTTGGTTAGAGGAAGGGAAGAGAGAGGAAGGAGAAAAAGTAGAGGGGAGTATGGAGGGAAAGGGGGGGGATAGAGAGAGGAAAAAGAAAGAGAAGTTGGAAGAAGAAAGAGAGAAAGAAGAAAGCAAGGATGAAGGAGGTTGGAGAGAAAGAAGGAAGGAGAGTAATGGTGAGTCATAAGCCAAAATCTCCATACCTTGTGCCTGGCCTTTCTTATGATGTCCCCTCCTCATTATTCCCATTAGGCATCTCAAACTAGGGATGGTGGGGGTGGAGATACCTCATGGTTAGAATGTTCTTGCACATAAAATCAGAGCTTCCATGTGCAATTCTTCTCTGGGGCTGGGTGGATTCTGTTGGTGTGCTGGTGACCTCCACATCATCCCCAGGACACCACCCTGCCAGTGTTCCTTCCTCTGGTCCACTGGTCTCTGCACTCTTCTTCCTCCCTGGCGTGTAGAAAAATATTCCTTGTGACCATCTCCACAAAGGAATTTCCTATGAAAGTTCTTCTCCCTGTGCTTTCTTTTCCAGAACACCTAGGCACTGAAGGGTGTGTATGTGCTGAATCCAGGGATATCGAGAACAGTATCACGCTCGACCTGGAACCAACCACTGTTCCTGCTTCATGCACCACCCCCACCACCCACCCCCACACAGGCTCACACTTATCCCTCTGACAGAATTCTTCCACTCCTGGTGAGTTTTCTCAGAGTTTTCTCACTGTCTCTCTTTCCAGTCCATCTCTCTTCAGGGCTTCAGGCAGTCCATCCCACAGGTCTGTGCCTGGCTTGGTCCTCCAACCCTCCTGCACTGCAGGGGTTCCCATAAGGAGGGCAAATCAAAGGGAATGGCTGGGCTGTTCCTCAGTCCCTGAGAATCAGGAAGCCATTGATCCCAGGACTCAGAGGACCTCTAGGGGTAATGTGGCCAAATGTAACATACCAGTGCACTTAAGACTCAGCTCTACTCCAGCCAAAATACCGTCATACTTTCCCACAGTAAAATGTTTGCAGCATCCTCAAAGGTCTCCACTGTCTTCCAAACATCTTTTCTGGATGAGTAAAGAAATGCACAGACTTGGTTGAGGCACCAGGACTCCTCTCTGGGCTCAGTTTTCACCAAAGGTGAATCCTCTCCCCTCATGCCTGAGGTTGTATAGATGAACCTGGACAAGGGATGCAGCTTTCTCAGACATCTTCTATTTATCATCACCCTTTCCATCAAGTTCCTGAACTGGTAACCACTTCTGCCCTTGAATGAAGACTTTCTCTCCAGTCTTCCATGCAAATGGGAAACCTCATTCTTTTGGTTCAAAGATTATTCATTGTCTAGAATGAGATAGAACCCAGGGAAAAAGGAGGGTAGGGGACATGATAGGGAGACCAAGGTGGAGGGAAGAGAGAAGAGGAAGATGGCAAATCCAGACAGTGACACTTCCTTACTTCCCCTTTCTTCCCCTTTCCTCTCCACTATTTCCTCCTTTCTTTTCCATAGCGCCTCCCTCCTCCCTTTTTTTCTCTCTGTTTTTAAAAGGTAAGTTTTACTATTATTCAGTCATGGTGAGGCCAACAGATCAGGAGATGATTACTATTGAAAAGATAGTTTGGGGACTTCCCTGGTGGTCCAGTGGTTAATACTCTGCACTTCCACTGCAGGGGGTGCAAGTTTGATCCCTGGTTGGGGAACTAAGATCCCACATGCCGCAGGGCATGGCCAAAAAAGAAAGAAAGAAAGAAAGAAAGAAAGAAAGAAAGAAAAGATAGTTTGTTACTCACAGTTCTGAAGCAGACTGGGTACACCAAGTCATGCAGGGCCACATGGGGAAACACCAGTGTCGGTCAGGAGGCAGAGGAGTGAGGGGAAAGCATGAATAAAAGCCTTTATTATGGTGTTCATGGGAAGGAGTGGGTGACTGGTTAGTTTGAATAATTTCAGCAGGCTCTGTGGTGTCGGGGCTGTCATGGGTTATCTGGTACCTGACCCTGAGGTGATTAGGGCAGGAAGAATATTGGCTTGGTGCGTGAGCATTCAATAAAGATGGTGGTTGGGGGCAGGCGGGTATGGGCTTTGGATTGGTTGGTTTACATATGAAAGATACCCTCTCAGGTGAGTCCTTTGCTATCTCTAAGAACTAACCCTGGGAGGGGTAGTGAGGCCCCAGATGCCAGAGCATCAGGAACACAGAATATAAGAAAATATAGTTAATACACTGCTCAACCAGATTCTGTACCACTGGGTCTCCAAAAGATCATGGCAGCATTCTCATCCCACCTACACTGAGGGTTTTACAAGTCAGGAGATGGGGAACAGGGTGGAGCAGGTGAGGAGAAAGGTGGGTCACAGCCCTGCCTTCTCTTGGACTGGGGTGGAGCAGATTGGGGCCAAGGTTAAGAGGAAAGTAAGACAATTAGGCTTCTACTGCTGCCACTGCCAGGATACTGCTGCACTCAATCTGGCAAGTCCCAGCCATGTTTCTGGCTTTGAAGAACAGGTTCAAATGACCTAAGGTGTGTCCTGGTCTCCATCCTTCCCCATCCCAGTCCCCAAAACTAAGATTCAGGATTCTGTACTGGCTCTGTCATTAGTTGACTGTATGACCTTGTACCTTACTTCCCTTCTCCGGTCCTCATGTTTTCCTGCCCCTACAGCTGCTCCAGATGAGGGCTCAGCCCCCTTGCATCTGGTCCATGTTGCTGAACTCTCTGCCTCTCAGGGGGTTGTGTCAATCACTCCAGCTTACAGGTGCCAACTGTGTGAATACTTGTTGGTTGAATGGGCACTGCCACCACTGGAGAGGAGGAAGAGGACACCAGGACTGCTCCCTGAGTGTGGGAGAGGTGGTGCTGGTGTTTGCTTCCTGAGATTGGAGTCTCTTCATGAGGGAGCTTCTGACTTAAGGATATGTGGATGGAATCAAAGTGAAGTAAGTTCTTCAGTTACCATCAACACTGTGATGTTATTTGATCTCCAATTTCCCTGTTCCCCTGAATGTATGTCAAGAATAAACTCCAGGGCTTCCCGGGTGGCACGGTGGCTGAGAATCTGCCTGCCAATGCAGGGGACATGGGTTCAAGCCCTGGTCTGGGAAGATCCCACATGCTGCGGAGCAACTAGGCTCGTGAGCCACAACTACTGAGCCTGCGCGTCTGGAGCCTGTGCTCTGCAACGAGAGGCTGCGATAGTGAGAGCCCTGCGCACCACGATGAAGAGTGGCCCCCGCTTGCCGCAAATAAAGAAAGCCCTCGCACAGAAACGAAGACCCAACACAGCCCAAAAGATATATAAAAATAGATTAATTAAAAAAAAAAGAATAAACTCCATACCTGTGTCCCAAATTACACACACACACACACACACACACACACACACACATTGGGTATACATTCTTATTCTCCTACTGCTGCCTTCTTTACTTTCCCTGTATTATTTAATCCCTCATGAACTTTTCCCCTGTTATTGTTCAGACTCCCATCTCTGAGTGTTCTCAAAGCTGTGGCCCTGGTTTGGGACATGGAGCCCATCTTCTGCTTTGACTATGTCCAATGCTCAGTGGGGGAGATTTCCAACAAGACTGGTAAAGGCCTAGATAGAAATTATTCTCTTTTTCTCCACTGCCACAGAAAGAGAATGGGCCAAGAGTTGTCTACTTCTTACCAGTCCAGTTCTCAATGTGGAGATTCTGACTTAAAGAACTCAGAGGAAACCAATGGAACAGACAAGACAGTGTGTCAGACAAAAAGCACACAGCCTGGTGTCAGCATAGCTTGGGAAATATGACATGTGTGAGATGTAGAGATATCCCTTTCCTCATCTCACAAGATATAGGAAAGCAAGGAACTTCCTGTAAAAGTGCTTTAGCAAAACCCAAATTTTAAGTCAATGACACCATTTAAAAACATCTAACTGGGCTTCCCTGGTGGCGCAGTGGTTGAGAGTCTGCCTGCTGATGCAGGGGACACGCGTTCGTGCCCCGGTCCGGGAAGATCCCACATGCCGCGGAGCGGCTAGGCCCGTGAGCCATGGCTGCTGAGCCTGCGCGTCCGGAGCCTGTGCTCTGCAACAGGAGAGGCC